CCACGCCCCTTTGATTTGCCCTGCCCACATCTCAGACCACACCCCCTTCGATTGGCCCTGCCCATATCTCGCACCACGCCCCCTTTGATTGGCCCTGCCCACATCTCAGACCACACCCACTACAGGCACTTAAAAAACGGATTGGCAGTGCTCCACTTTCACATCAGGCAACACATGACGGCCACATGACTCTCTTCCTCCGAGGGATGTGGAGACATGCTCGCCTGTGAGGAGCATCTGAATGGAACATGNGGCCACATGACTCTCTTCCTCCGAGGGATGTGGAGACATGCTCGCCTGTGAGGAGCATCTGAATGGAACATGACAGCCTAGCCAACGTCCTCCCCGCAGACACGACGCCCCGCGTCTGGCACTTCGCATCTGCCGGCTATGTGCTTAACGTTAGCATAATTCATCAAAGCTCTCCACACTGGACCATGTCGACCGTTAGGGCTTAACATCCGTGTGTGTTCGGTCAGGACCAGGAGCCCCCCGGATCTGTCTTGTCTCGTGGAGATCTGGCTCGATGGTCTAGAGGCTCAGTTCCACCATTGGGGGGGGGCGTCAAAGTGTTCTTCGCTCTTCGTCATGACGGTTTTCCTCAGGTTTTGTTTTGATGACCCGTCTAACTCTCTGTGGACTCGTTCACGTAGTCCCCGCGCTTGTGAAAGTGCGTATGTGAAATGTGAGTCCAGAAGCAGACACACTTATACGGCATGTGTAGATATATAGATATATATCTAGACGCGATATGTGTGCAGATGCAGAACATACTTACAATTACGCGATAAGGAATCTTTTGAGAATTTTGCAATTATGTAATGCAATAAAAGAATTTTCATTTTGTTCACTTAAACGCATTTGCGCTTAATATGCCAACATTGCAATAATGACAATGCAAGCAGTCTTTAGGTTTCTAGCAATTCAGACCAAAAGTAGGTCATCTTTTGAATCCATTTTCCAATGTGAATATGTACCGACACGTAAGTAATAAGTGACAAGACTGGGTGAGTGTGTCGCCCCCTCATGTAAGATGGACCATACATACTTTGACTGCCAATCTTAATCCTGTGTAGGTTAAGATTCTGAAAGATAAGATATTCTTTACTATAATTCCCTTCGTCTAGCTAAAAGAAATCCCTTAACCTACAGCATGCTAAACTCAGGCTGCAAATTCGGCCACAAACTGCTTGCTCTTGCCGTCTACGAACGAAAATCGCGAAATGCTTCCCGGATTCATTTTGAGACCTGTGGAGCAATTATGTTACTGTGATGTATGGTAAGGCACACAAAGCGCTAATCCGTCACCCCTAACTGCTTACCTACTTGGTAAGCCTGAAGTATCTCAGCTGAAGCAAAGGGGCAGGGCCACCTAGGATGGGATGCCAGTCTATTACAGGGAACGCACTCCGGGCAATTTACAGCCACAGATTCACCTAAAGGCACAATTTTTGATTGCAGAATGAAGCCCGGGTGATGGCAGGGAACGAGGGGAGAATATGCTAATTCCACATTCAGACATAGCAGGGGGCGGAGATTGAACTGATAAATTTTGGGGTGTGGGGCCGCTACGCTAACACCTGAACCCCCCCTCTATGCTATAGATGATGCTTTTATTTATATACTCTATAACTGTCAGAATGTTTCCTTGCTATATGCTATCAGACTCCTCCACAGATCCCGCCCCTACTTGTAATCAATCGATCAAAACAGTGTAACATATGCAGTGTTTAATTGTTTACAGTACATTTGCATCCACACAGAGCCCTGATAATCTATTAGCACATTATAATTGCACACTGCATCTGTTGTAGGTTTTGCACTGTATGTATGGATGCATGTTTTTGCCATTGTATTCAGTGGCGGAGCCAGAAGATTTTCAGTGGGGGGGCCAGGGTCGAGCAGAGGTCATTTTGAGGCGGCACATAAACCTAAATATGAACATTAGGCACCTAGAAAATAAGGGAATATTTAAGGTACCCAAACGCTATAACGCCACATTGTAATTCAGGCAGTGGTGGATTTATCAGATACACATTTAATGTATCAATTTCTTGCAGTTAAGGTAACAAACTTACACTAAGTTCAAGATTCTCAAACTTCTGCATTACTCCTGTTGTAAGAGGACACGTTTAGCTCAGCCGTACCATGAGCTCCTTCTGTACCACTGTATCGTCGGGGTCACAGACAAACAGTTATGTATTAAAAGGAGTTTTTAAAATCAAAGTCTGGTTTAACCATGAAAATGCAAATACAACGGGGGGGGGGGGGGGGGGGGGGGGGGGGGGTTTCAGTCTAGGGTTCAGTCGAGGGTCACCCCTTGCCACCCCCCAGCTCCACAGATGATTGCGCTACTGAAACTTACACAAACCACCTTACCTNTCTCAAACTTCTGCATTACTCCTGTTGTAAGAGGACACGTTTAGCTCAGCCGTACCATGAGCTCCTTCTGTACCACTGTATCGTCGGGGTCACAGACAAACAGTTATGTATTAAAAGGAGTTTTTAAAATCAAAGTCTGGTTTAACCATGAAAATGCAAATACAACGGGGGGGGGGGGGGCAGTAGGGTGGGCAGGTTTCAGTCTAGGGTTCAGTCGAGGGTCACCCCTTGCCACCCCCCAGCTCCACAGATGATTGCGCTACTGAAACTTACACAAACCACCTTACCTGTTAAATACCTTGCTTTTACTCCTCTACGTTGTGTGTTTTATGTCTTGTATTTTTTCTCCGCCTGTAAATGTTCCCTATTGTCACATCGCTAACAGTAGCAAGCTGAGCCAGAAAAAAATTCCCCGGCCTCGGCCGTGCGGCAATTACGATTCTGATTTTATTTGCCGTCCACCTGCAAACTAAAATTATCTACTTATTAAAAATGCCGCATTTCTTAGCAGATTCTTGTCAAAGCTGTTTAACGCGCCAAGCGGCCCGCCCAGAATGAGTCCCACCACAGACGCCGAACCTCTTGATTTCACATTTTCACAACAGACGCGGATGAAATCTGCCAATTTAAATAATTCACCGCTGTTAGTAATATTAGCGAAAGGCGTCCGGCCGCTCCCGCCGCACGCTGAACCGCCTCGGGCTGCTCTGCACTTAGCTAGCTGCTCGCTCTCGGAGACGGAGCAGTTTAATCAGAAAAGACACATAAACACAGGGGACCTGGAGGGCTTAGTATTCTCAGGGTCGACACGACTGATTCAGTACAGTTTTTTTTCCTCGTTCTTTTATTCCTGTGAAGACGGCCTGTCCTGCCTTGTTACGGCGAAATGTTCCGAACCGAAGCGCACAGCCGCTCGCTCCTCTGACTGCGTCTGACA